GGTATAGTGGTAAGCTGAGGGGTGGACTAGACAGAGATCTGGGAGATAGGGAGGTGCTAGGGTTTGAAGGGATTTATTGTTGTGGGTGAGGACCTCTCAATGGTATTCAATGATGAAAGTAATGAAAATCCGCTTCCTTAGCTATTCGCTTTGCTTAGTGATGAAAAATACCTTCGGAAAGGGTTGAAAATTTAATTATATTGGCCAAATACTCCACCTAATTTAGAGATTTCCCCTGACACTACAATGGCAAATACTTGCAAATATGATGTTGCAGAGCAAATAGCAGTTCCTCGAAATGACAACTCAACACGTTTTACTCAAATGCTGCAGAAATAAATGCAAACAGATGAGGAAAAGAAGCCTGTACGTAGCTTAACATTTCAAGGCAAGACCTATAGAGCACATAATTTGGTCAGGAGCGTTTCTGTTAAATCTGCAGTCCATACAAACCAACCAAAACCTAAAACTGTGCTCCAATTATAATAATACCAAGTTCATCATCGGATTTTCCTGCAAAGTGTAGTTTGGCTTTGTGTGCTACTTACTGGATAAACTGACCGAGTACCAAGGGAAACACACAAGTAACTATTTAATTGGAATATTAAACAGATACTGTAATAAAGCATCCTGGTACCACAGAAGCAGGATGTGATATTGATTAATCCACAACCTCTGGGGCACAAACCGCACACAAACCAAACCAGGAAGTTGCTGCCTTAATATGCAGAGCTCAGAACCAAAAATTAGTTTGAAGTTGGTATCAAGTTTCTTTTGGACAGTTGGTTGTTGGACAAGTGGGAACATCACCATGTTTAAGAGTATCCAACTAAGAGTTTACCCCACATAATTACGCCATTTACAAATTGAAATTTCCCTGCAACTGGAATGGAATGCGCTCTCTCTCTCCCTGGAGAGACATGCCCTGCTTACCTAATTTCAGAGAATATTTGGCATGCGTTGGCAAGAAACAAGGCTCGGGGTAATCACAGTGTATTTGTTTAGGGTACTGTTGGCATTCAGCCAGCTAAAACTGTGTAGCTTGCCATTGAGAGCATTGTCTGGCAAGCTTCCCACTGCTTATCCCGCTAGGACCAGCCAACACATCAGGGCTTTAGCTTTATTACGGTTAACGATAACTAAGTGAGAAGAATCCCTGCTCGCATTGTATTGGTTGTTTTGGTGACTCTTCATTCCCTACCAGTTTCAAACATCCAAGGAGGGGCAAGACTTCTCTACATTAAACAACATAATAGCTCTTCTGCTCAGTGAAAGTGAAAATCAAGCTATGTACCTTTCAACCCCTGGAGTTGCAATCTTCTGTACTATTATTATGGTAATTATTGGGTGCTCGAAGGGTTAATAAGAGGAAAACGATACAAAGGTTTTGCGCAGGCTTTTTAACCTGTGCCTCGTTCTTGTGTCTGCAGATGTCAATTGCCAAGGAATTAAGGTTAGGATTAACCCTAACCCTCATTGGTGAACGCTAACATTTTCGGCAGTAAGGACTTCAGCAAAAGTTGTTCAAATAGCTCAGGGTGAAGTTATAACAACTTGTACATGGGAAGCGGGAGCGATATGAATGAATAAACACTGATATGCCTCTAAACCAGTCAGTCAGTGTCTTTCGTGTCCTCCGTGCACTCAGTCCTGTATCGCAAAAGTTAATCCTTCATAATAATCCTTGTATTTTGACGCCTTATCACGTCTTTGAGACTTCTCAAAGCGCTTCGCAGGATATACTGTGACTTTGACTGTATATTTTGTAGGTAAAACGGGCAGCCAGTAGTGCACAGCAATGTCCCACAAACAGTCGGAAAAAAGAGTGACTGCAGAAAACTTATTTGGTTAAATCTTCAGACCAGATGGACGAAGAGCAGCATCTGTTCCAGATGTAACAGCGTTCTGCTTTTTGAAACGCAGGTGTTCCCCCACCCGCAGCTTGTTGGAACGTCGCCATCAAAACCAGATTATCCCGTGGGTCAGAAATGCGAGGTGGTTGCTTCAATTCCCCCACGACAACAGTGATCTTTGTCCCCAGTGGCTCCACATGCCCAACAGCAGCTGCTCTCCAGTGAAATGAGATGACCATAAAGTCAGAAACATGCAGAACGTGAAAACAGATAAACAGTACCTGCCGTCATGGAAACGAGAAGAAACAGTGAACTTTTTTTCTCTCCTCTTGACCCTTAAATAATCTCAACAGTTGAACTTGAAGGTGGTCCCGAATCCAGCTTTGCTGAATGTTTTGTTTTGAATTCTTCCAAAATGTGTTTGGCACCAAATGCTTAAAATTATCCGTGACCAAAACGAGATATCAAGCAAGTCCTGAACAACAACTAAAAACTTGTCACTGTACCCACAGATCCCCATAAAAATGCAAAGATAATGACTAGACTTTACTTACCTTATCTGATGCCAGAGAAACTAAAAGCACTGAATTGGGCATCAAATATTTGCTTTTCAGTGACCTATTCAAAACTCTAAATAATGGGCAGCACAGTGGCACAAAGCAATGGGTTAAAATTCCAGTGTGCCTGGGTGTGAGTTTCCTGCTTGCAGTTCCCTACACTGGTGAGTTTCAAATCTCAGCTGCACCATCGGTTAGTTTTATATAGAGAATGATATGGCACGGAAACAGACCATTCGGCCCAACTATTCTGTGCCAGTGTTTTTTCTCATTTCCCATGATAATGCCCTTCTTATTTCTAATAATAATAATCGTTGTGTTTGATATAGCATCTTCTATGTCAGGAGAACTTCTCAAAGCGCTTAATAGGATTTACTGTGAAGTATAGTGGACCAGTGCAGCAGCCAATTCCACGAATAGCCGTGCAATGAGTGATCAATGTTAACTGGGGAAATGTTGGCCAGGACCCCATGAGGGACTCCTCTTTTTGAATTTTTAATATCTACCTGAATAGGCAGAAGGGATCTCGGCTGAATGTTTCATCCAAAGGACGCTACCTCTGACAACGCAACTCTTCCCCAGCACCGCATAGGACTATGCAAGTTCAAAATCTTGAACCCACAACCTTCTAACTCAAGAGGCGAGGTGCTACCAACTGAGCCAGGCTGATACATCATACTGGTCTTGAGCAGAGGCTGAGCCCTAGTGTGCAGAGGAAGGGAAAGTTCAAAGGGACACATGACCTGTTTGTGCCCAGCCAGCCTTTCCACAGCGGTAGCCATATGTGACTTGAAGCAGGATCACCTGCCCGATTTCACGACCAGAGGGTGGGTATTGCACAGTTCAACCCAAGAAAGGAGGAAAAGAAGGGAACGTATACATATCGTACCAAAGTTAAAATACCTAAACGATAATTCAGAATGAACTTAGGATATACCGTCCATAGCATCCCCCTTGCCACATCCACTGCTGTAGGGGAAGCCAAATCCGCGATCCATACATCTGGTATTTTACCCGGAGACTGCAGAGGTGTAAATCATCATGAACAAACAAAATAACCAAACGCATTGTGGTACCAAAAGACTCTGTTCTGGATAAACGGGATGGAATATTTCTGTACTGTATCATTCTATGACTAACAATTTGTGTTTTTCTTCTTCAGAGAAAAATAATCCTTGCAGTTAATATAGCGCCTTATCACCTCTTCGAGACGTCTCAAAGCACTTCACAGAATACACTGTAAAGTGAATTGACTGTATTTTGTGGGCGAAATGCGGCAGCCAATTGGCACAGCAGTGTCCCACAAACAGTCATGGATTCAGTGACCAAATTATTATTTTTTTTTTTTGAAGAGTTTATTACTACCGAAAAAGCGATCCACCAATCAACTAACAATCGGGTTCCTGCTTATTACTGGGTAAACAGAAGCGTGTGGAGTAAGAAAACTTGCCCAACATTTCACCCTGTCCAGGAATCGAACCCAGGTCCTCTCGCTTGTGAGGCATGTGGGTAAACCACTGAACTATAGGACTCCACAAGAGAAATGAGGCTTCGCTTCACAAAGAGCTCTTCAGATTATCTCTTTTACAGATATAATCTCCAACACGAATCAATAAGTGAGGGACATTATTTTGCTTGATCAATGAGAGGGCATCTGAAGAATCATTTGAGTGCAGTAAAGCATTCACCTGTCTCATTGTATAGCATTCTGTATTCAGCACAGACATCAAAAGAAAATGTAACTTCCAGAAAAGCGGTATTTTACTCAAAATGCTAAATATGTACAGTTTATTCAGATGGTTAATAATAATAATCCTTAGATTTGTTAAAGTATCTTTCACATCGGGAGGACTTCCCAAACCCTTCAGATATACTGTAAAGTGTAGTGACTGTGTGTTTTGCGCGTGAACGCAGCAGGCAACTTGCCAATGTCCCACAAACAGCCATAAAGCGATTGACCAATTTTATCTGTTGGCCAGGACACCGGGAGAAACTCTTTTGGAATGGGATATGTGGGATCTTTAATGTGCACGTGAACAGGCAGATGGGATGTTGGTTTTACCGTTTCATCCAAAGGATGTACCAGTAAAGGAGAAACCCTGTTGTAACTGTTAAAACAGCTTTAATAATGATCATGTGTACAGGTACAGTGGAATTTCTCAATTCAGTGTTAAGCAACATATAACCTGCCTTTTGGTCCTCATAATTACTAGGCCAGGGGTTCTAAAACAACTGCATGCACACCAAATAAAATTATTGTTATTAAAAAAACACTTAATGACAGGGTGAAAACTGTCACATCACACCTCAAAATATTCACCCCATCAATGTGCAATCAGCCTAAGGCAGTTTATGAATGAATTTGCAATTAAATGTGTCAGTGCAGGAAATGGTTTTATCAAAGTTTTTATCCAAACCACTCCTGCTGCAATGAAAAAAAGTGGTAACAATAATCCTTGCATCGGATACAGCGCCTTTCACACCAGGAGGACATCTCAAAGTGCATCACAAGATTTACTGTGAAGTGTGGTGACTGTGTTGGTGGGTCAATGCAGCAGCCAATTTGCACTTACCAATGTCCCACAAACAGAGATGAAAGTGAATGAACATTTTTACACAACAAGAATTCCTGAATGAAAACTAAGTTCTTCAAGCACTTTGGTGTGATTAAAATTTCATCAGGAACAAACCTTTTAAAGGCAACAATGTAATATATGAAATACATTTTATTTGATTAGAAAAAAACAACTTTGTACATCAAGATATAAAGTACTTAATTTTGGCTGGGTAGCAAACATTATGGAGCATAAGGCTTTAAATATTCATGTGTTATGCATATTTACTTTAGTAAGTCTTCATCTCTACACACAGTACTGAAGGCACTTTTTACAAAAGACACACAAATACAAAAAGTAGAAGTTAAAACGGAAAGCATTTTACATAAACACATCAAAATCTTAAATGCTGGGGTTAAAACAAAAGATTTACTTCGGCTGATGTGATTGATAGGTGCAACTTAGACTAGAACGGATAAGGTCCCACTACTATTGTCAATCGCAGCACTGAAACAGTCCGGTAGTTCATTAGGGCATTGACTGTTAGCATCTCCATATCCACAATGTATTCCTGTGGTCCTGTTAACGGCTTGACTAAGGCGAGCAATGCACTCACATTACTTGTTTGCTGAGGGAATAGAAAAGTGTGATAAAATGAGTGAATGATACGATTTTTTTTTAACTGCGTCTCCAAAACAAAAACGATGCTTGGAACAAAGAAACGCAGGCTCACCCTCAGATAGAATTCCCCTCCTTCGTTCCCAGAGGTGATCTGAAAGGTGTTGAAGGTGTTGGGGTAAATACTTGTTGCTTGGATTTGAAAGATGTCAGAAGGCACTGAGCTATCTGACCGAACATTCATGTTCTTGTATACATAGGAATATGGCTGATCGCGGCAAGCTGGGTTTCCCGATGAACAGATGCAGCGGCTGTATAAGAGAGAACAAATAGCAGTGAAATCTGTCATTAAAGCCATCATTTTAAACTTCTCAGAATAGTCTGGAGGGATTGTGCCACTGAAGGATTCATGAACAGAGATCCTCATTTGAGTTTCCTTATTATTTGTGTTTGGTTTCATCTTATGATGTTCTAAAATTTGTATATTCAGAAAAATTAAATCTCTATCTCCAAAGGTCAGATATGCAAAAGAATATATGCATCAATAAAAGGATTTACTTCCTCCTGAAAGACTCCCAACAAAAGCATCTGATGCTCCTTCAAAAAAGAAAATGATAAGTGTCTGCTTGGAGGCAACCACAGACTGAGATGAACATGTACTACAAGACACATGTATGTTGCTGAGTTGCAGGACCCTGAAATAAGGAAGAAGAGGATAATGTGGAGAGAATGCTGTAATAAATGACCAACACTTAATTGAATAAATAGAAGAATCAATTGGTACTGTTTAGCACTATAAAAGAACACTGGGAACTGGTTATAGGGGGTGGAATTGTTAATGGAGTGGTATTGATTTAGTTAAGGAGTCCTGTAGCTCAGGTTAGAGCACTCGCCTTGCAAGTGAGACACCTGGGTTCAATTCCAGGCAGGACAGAACCTTGGGTAAGTTTCCTTACTCCACACGCCTAATAATAATCCCTCCAAAACAAGACAATAATAAATTGGTCATTTTCAATCCATGACTGTTTGTGGAACACTGCTGTGTGCAATTGGCTGCTGTGTTTTGCCTGCAAATATACAGTCAATTCACTTTACAGCATATTCTGTGAAGTGCTTTGAGACGTCTAGAAGACGGGAAAAGTGCTATATCAAATGCAAGGATTATTATCAAGATTTGAATAAATTCAACAACAACTGAGTGAGTATATATTGGAAGTTGAATGAAACATGTAGAGGGAAGGAAAAATTTTAAATGTGAACGTATGAGAAGTGCTTTCAGGCACTGTTGTGAAAGGTAAATAAATGTGAATTGTTGATGGATAAAAGTTCTACACTCAGTGTGATTATTGGGGGGTAATTGGGGAATGTCTGTAAGGCACTTTCCCACAAGAGATAGAGTATGTGTGGTTCATGATAAGAGGAGATTTTGTGTGTGTTTGTGTGTTCTGTGGAATGAGTGGTCAAGGGCTGAACAAGCTTTCTTTGTTCTGTGCTTTATATTCTTGAAGCAAATCCTTGATGTTACTTGCAGTATGAGATCTGTGGGCAAATAGCTGACTGCTCTTCATTTTAGTGTCTAACCACCACTGTGGTGCTCCAGGGGTTAATTGTGACTATGAGGTTGTGTTTCAGAATGAAGAAGTGACAAACCATGTGCATGTGATGTCTTCATCACTTGTATAATGATTTATAACTCAGTTGATGCCTGAAGGCTGACAGCTCCAAGGTGAATAAGTTCTCTCCTCCTATGTAATAGACTTATGGCTGCTTCATTCACGCTGAAAGCTTTTATTACAGCTTTACTTACTTGGCAGACGTCTGAACATAAGGCTCCTGGCATGGGATTTTAGGATAACACCTGAATCCACCAAAATAGTTCCAACACCTCTCCTGTTCCTCGCATACACTTCCAGTTTCACATTCGTTTATATCTGTTACAGGGAAATAAAAAAAATGATTTTTTCCCCCACCTCTGAAGCTCAAGAATGATTGACCCTGAATTACAGAAAGCTGAATTAAAGAATTGCAAGGTAAGCTGTAGTTGCTGGGAGCTGTCTGGCAAGGTGGTTCATGTTGCGTAGACAGCAATGGTGAAAGCAGTCATTACCTTAGTACAGTGTCTGCAGACCAGCAAGAAATGTAAGCAGATGATACCTATGGCTCCTGTGTAATCTAAGTGGCAGTTTATTATTTATTATTATGTTTGCAGCAGTGAAGGAGGCTACTGTGTGCTGGTGCTTGCTTCTCCAGTCATCACTCTGCTTATCACCTTTGTTGTAAATGTGTGTGTTTTTTGGGGGAAATTGGTGGTTGAGGATGTTTAGTGTTGTGTGGGATTCCCTTCAATAACTTCCTCTCCATTTAAGTGGAAACGCATGCTCCTGGATAATGAGCAAACTGTTAACGCAAGGTTCACCTTGGGTTAGGTGTGGCTCAGATACCAACTCCGGTATATAAAGGCTGCAGCCGAGACAGCGGGGTACCTGGGGCTAAGGGCTATTCTTACATTAAGAGGAGTAGAATGCATTGGGAATCTTAAGATGAGTGGAGGGAGCCACACAGTTGTAGAGACTAAGCCACACAGTTGGCCTTATAGTGGTTGTGAGTACAGATTTACGTGTATAATGTTATCGAGGCCTTGATAATCGTATGTGAATGATGCTAAGCAGAATAAATACAGCCCAGGACATGAAGTTTAGCATCTAGATTAGGGAACAGCCCCGAATCTTCTGGATGGTTTGGAATTTCTGACACATCACCACTTCCTTAACACGGTGAAATCTAAACTTATAAAAAATGCTTCAGTGTTTTTTAGGGGTGTTCCATGACACTTGAGAGTGAGATATACTTTGGGACCCTATCCTGTGTGAGGGGCACTATATAAATGCAAGTTGTTGTTGATATACTTGTCTTGAAAGGTTTCCTTGTAATTTGCCAAGTTTCCCAAATATATTTTATTTTGCTTTTATTCTTGTTTCAGGCAGAACGTGGCACTGTTTTCTTGGAGTGACTGAATGTTGATGTCGTGACTGAATATATTTTCTTCCTTCTTTTAAGGAAACGTGTGGGGTTGAACAATGTGAGAAGTGTTAGTGCAGGTTTGCCTCAGGTGGGCTATGTCTCAGATAACAAGCTCTGGGCTATGAATGCTCTGGAGTCTCCGTAAAAGGTATACATTTCGAAAGTGAAGGGAAAGGAAGTATGTAGTGTGAAGTATTTTTTGAAAGTAATTACTGATGGAATCAAAAGCTGCCTCAACTAGTGTTTTTAGAAGATGTAGTTGATCCATCCATCTTTAAATTCCACCTGAAGACCTACTTATTTTTACTTTTTTTACTTTTTTTATTTTGCCCACAAAATATACAGTCAATTCACTTTACAGTCTATTCTGTGAAGTGCTTTGAAACGTCTAGAAGACGTGAAAAGCACTATATCAAATGCAAGGAATATTATTATTACTTCTTGGATTGAGCCTTTAAGTAATCTTTCCCTTCTCCCTCGCTCGTGTCCCACCCTACCACTGTGCGGTGCTCTGATGCTATCCTGTGTGAAGGGTGCTATATAAATGCAAGCTGTTTTTATCAGCAAAAGAAAAAGGTCCTAGTTAAGGAGACATCTTATGAGTTCTAATTGTTGGAGTGGGAACCTTCTTTAAGTTGTGTCTCAAGTACATTTATCATTGATAATTATCACTGGCAGCAGCACATTCCCAAGTCAATTTAACCCTATGTCCGTAAGACTGTTTACACCATTTTCTCTCCCAGTTTACTTTTTGCACACATGGACTTCCTGGTGTTACATCTCAAGCATATTCGGGTACAGCAGTAAAGTGGTTAGTCTGTCACTCATTGTAACGGCAAAAGCAGACTTTATTTTGGGGGTGAGGGCTTGCTCATGATTATGAAAATGGAAAATGATGCGTTTCTTATTGGTTGTGGAAAGGCAGAAATTAAATAACTAAGTAATTAATGCTCATGACCCAAATAACATACACATGTATGTGTATGTCTGACTCATGGTACCTTACCTTGGCACATTCTGCTTCCCACGAGCTGGTATCCCTCAGGACAGATGCACGAGAAGCGCCCTGGTTCATTTACGCACTGGTACTGACACATGTAGCTTGAGTAAGCACACTCATCAATATCTACATTACAAGAGATGATCAATTTAATTTCAGACCCTCGAGAACAACTGTTGCTTATAGAATGTGCAGCTGCAATTTCAGTTCTCTGGTTGTTACTACTCTGAAATGTAATCCTTTATATTTCAGTCCTTAAGAAAGATTCTTGTGGTACCTGAGGCAATTGTTTTTTGCCAATTTCCTCAACTTTTCGCATCTCTTTCTCCACCTGGGATAAAGTTCCACAGACGCCCTCTAGCACCCCAATCAAATGGGCAATCTGTGGGTAAGTCTTGACATGTCAAAACACAAGCACTTTTCAGCAGAGATTATTGAATAGCAAGATTGGTTAATTTTGTTTCCGATCGCCCAGCGAGCAGAGTCCAAATGGCGTGCCCCAATCTACTGCTTTGACCAAGATCAGCTTACTGGTCTGTAGAGTTAGTGTTGCATTGGGACGTGCCCTTAACCTGCTAAGGCAAGTGCTTATCAAAGTCTAGCTAGCTTTGGCATTGCATTCAATGTAGAAAGAAATGAACTAAATCATTCTCTATAAACCATCAGTCACTGACATGTAGTGATGTCATATCTAGGTGCCGCACAGTTTATTGAAGTGCAGTGAGCAGGCTGAATTATGCAGAATAATGTATAAGAGAAGTCTGGATTGTTTGTGACTTAAGTCTAACAGCAAGAACTCTGCCTGATTCTCCAATATTGCTGGTATGGGGTAAAATATGTGTTCTGTTTCTGCAGCACTGAATTGCACAAAAACTATTTTCAATTGCGCAGTTTAGTAAATCTAAAACAATGGGTTGGCATGACGGTGTCTTCTCATCTTTCAATAAACTGTACATCACTTGGACATGAAGTCAGTACACATCAGTGACTGATGGCTTATAGAGAATGATTTGAGGAGTTTCGAAGGCCATCTCTTTCCATGTTGAATGCAAAATCAAAGACTTGCCATATCTGTAAATGTGAACCATGTAAAAATGAAGATATTCTGGTCTATTTAAGGAATTTATAGTTTTTTTTTGTACTTGACTGAGTTTTAAAGAACATTCATAGATTACCTCTGCACGTCACTTTGTCTGTACTTAACTCGTATCCCTGGTCACAATGGCAGATGAAGGAGCCGATGATATTGAAGCACTGATGATCACATGGAGAGCCAGTCTCGCACTCATTAATATCTTGAGAGAGAGCGAACAGAATTAGGATCCATAACCAGAACAGAATCAGCCGTCCAACTAAAATTACTAAGTATTGATCAGGACTGGTAACCCTGGCTGATTTATTCCCTCCCCACCCCGTTTGTAACCAAGGGCTTAAATAGTTATACTGACAGACAAAAAGGTGTTTTAGGTTTTAAAAAAAAAATTCTTCCATTTGATATAACCCCTTATTACTTTGTTGAATCATGTCAAAGTGCTTCACAGTATTTACTATAAAGTATAGCGATTGTGTATTTGGTGGTGAACATGGCAGCCAATTTCTGGTGGACATTAAAGATCCCATAGTGCCAAAGGATCTTTAATGTCCACCTGAACAGACAGCCAGAACATGTTTAACATCTCATTTAAAGGATGGCACCTCTGATAATACAGTCCTCCTCCAGCACTAAACCGAGGTCCTAGTTCGGTGCCTGTTCAGGTGGATGTCAAAGATCCTATGGCATTATTCAAAAAAGAGAAGAGAGTTTCTCCCAATGTTTTGGCCAATAATCATCAGGTAAAATTGGTTATTCACTTCATGGAACATTGCTATGTGCAAACTGGCTGCTGCATTTACCTACAACCACAGTCACTACACTTTAAAATAATTCCTGGATGCACTTTGAGTTGTCCCAATGTTATAATAAGGCATTATATCAAATAGAAAGATTATTATAAATGTAATTTGATGTTTGCAAACTCGCTACATCCATGAAGGAGAATGGATTACAATGGGTGGAGACTGATGTGAAATATAAACACAGACAAGTTATACTTATTGTGTTTCAGTGCTGCACACTCAGCAATTCTTTGTAACATTGGACAATTTGCAAGTCAAATCTTCATTAGCTCTGGTCATAAAGAATAAGGTTGGACTGACCTGTGAATCTCTCAACAAGAGCACACACATTCCGTTGACATGACTGCAGCCAAATAAAGTTCTTTATTAAATTAAGTTTATTTGAACATAAAAGGCACTTTGTCTTATAAGACTACAGGAGGGTGTTTTTTTTCTTGTGGTTTCACTGAACATGAGGAATTACTACATGATGTGGCTCCAGGCCAATCTGGCAAATACAAGTAAGACAGTGCTTCAGTGGTTTATTTCGCACAATGTGAAATAGCAGTTTCCGATCACAGGTTCAACTTTACATACATGACCCTAAAGATAGAACAAGAAAACAGTTCCCAATTTTTCCAACGTTATGACAATGAGAACCAATGCAATGTATTGGAAGTACATCACTGAACTGATCTGAAAATGAAGCACCTCAACACTATTGCAAGGTAACCCTGCGGGCTGATTCACTGTATCAGAACAACTGTGTCCAAATAGATTCAGGCTTGAGTGGTTTCTTGTAAAGCAACTATCTTCTGGGCATGAACCTCCTCTGCTGCTGGGTTGGGTCCTTGCAAGCTACCAAGGCAGAACAGCCAGTTGTCTGACATGAAAGATCTCTTGGTGCCCATTGTCCTGTTTGCCTACGAGATGCACAGTCGCTACACTTTACCGTGATTACTTGCAAAGTGCTTTGAAACATCCTTCTGATGTGACAGTTGCTATATCAAATGCAAGGGTTGTTATTATTATTCATCACCTTCAAAGAGATGAAACCTTGCCCTAAGTTATTATATGCAGTGATCTAACAAAGAATCAGTGCATCACAAAGGGGGTGGGGGGTGAAGGAGGAAAGAGGGGTGCAACGAGTGTTGGTGGTTCAGTATTCTGCAGAGACTTTAATTATGCCTCGGCATACCAGAGAAAGCTGTACTGTATTCTTTTTAACCAAAGAATCATTGTTTCCTTGTGTTAAATAGCTGTCAAGTGTTGCCCTGTAGTGCAATGTGAGATAATCCTGAGATTATGAACGTAGCCAGATGCTTACCTCTGCACGTGCGATTGTTGCTTGACAGCTGAAAACCTGCATTGCACTGACAGTTATAGGAACCAGGTATGTTGACACATCCATGATGGCAATAGGAGGGTATGTTGCATTCATTAATGTCTGGATAATCATTGAAAAACACATTACACAGCTGCACGCACTTAACAAAACCATTGCCAGATACCCAGAAATATTAGTGCCAAGAGTACTAACTCGATGATGTAACGGTATCTCAGTAAACTTGCCTTTTCTGTTTCAAAGTAATTTTATTGTTAGCACAGAAATGTGTTCCACTTATCTCAGTCCAAGTTACCTACAAGCCCTGAACAGTCAAAAAGCCATGTTTTCTAGGAGCTGTCTGTGTTTAGCTACTTTTTCATTTTGCTCCAGTTCACACTGTGATAGTTTCACACTGTGTGAAACTATTTTAGATGCAGAGTACTGTACAGATATTCTTTGATAATCAGTAAGTAGCGCTGAGATTATGGTTATCATATACCGGGAAGATTTTCTTTAAGAGGAGGGTAATTAATAACTGGAACAGGTTGCTAACAAGGGTCGTCGAGGCTGGGATGCTCGACTCATTTTTAAAAAAAAACAGCTTGATGCTGTAATGGGAGGAGTGTCGGGTGGGTGTTGTTGAGAGATGAGATCAGATGGACCGAAGGGCCTTCTTCATTCCAAACCAATCTTGTGTTCGTGTGAACTTGATTCCCCAACAATGCCTTCCACACCCCTCTCTGTAACGCTGAAATCAGGCATTTTTCTCATTATGTTGGCACATTGTATTAATTCTTCTCTTGTATATAAATATCTTTTGATTCTAACATGGGCCTCTGGCTACCTGCTGTAGGCTACCTGCTGTAGGGTTACTGGATTAATAATTCTTCAGGATGGCAGAGGAATTCATGGAATATTAAATAATAATCATAACCCCTTCATTTGCTATAGTGCCTTATCACGTTGTTGAGACATTTCAAAGTGCTTCACAGAATATACTGTAAAGTGAATTGACTGTATATTTTGTGGGCGAAACACAGCAGCTAATTGCACACAGAATTGTCCCACAAACAGTTGTGGATTGAGTGATCATATTATAAAAATAAGTAAAATAATCTTCAAAGCTAATCGAGGCTTTTGTTAATACCAAAGGGTGAGAGATGCTCTGTTTCTTAATGATTCAAGGATAATTAGCACTTTGAATCTGCAAGAAAATGTCATGTATTTCAACTCCCAAATGGGGACGTAGATTTAAACCCAACTGTTAGTTGCACTTTCTTTTCCTTCTTCAATCTTTGCTCTTTCCCAAATGACCATCTTGGTTGGGAAGCTGGGAGTATCGATCGATTTTCCCCCATTTCTGAGCCCATCACTGAGCATTTCTTGGTCAGACCACAGCATCACAAGAGGGCTCTTATGTTGGGAAAACATCTGGTTAAAGGTGTGTTGCTTTTTTTTTGAAAATATGAGGAACTCCAGATTCTTTTATTTGGTGGTTTTTAAAAAAAAAAGCTTTCTTTTTTGCACTGAACCAGAGAGTGTTTTGTTACTGTGTAGCTACATTCCGTGGATAATAGTTCCTTCAAAAAAACTAATAATAATTTGGTTACTCAATCCACGAGTGTTTGTGGGACACTGCTGTGCGCAATTGGCTGCCATGTTTCACCCACAAAATACAGTCAATTCACTTTACAGTGTATCCTGTGAAGAGCTTTGAGACGTCTCAAAGACGTATTAAAGCACTATATCAAATCCAAGGACTACTGGTATTATTATTACATAGCATTACCTTTCATTCCTTGGCATTATTAACTGTTATGGGCTTTACGACCAGGTGGTCAGCATTTGTGCAATGGTTTACCTGTCATTTTCTGATGATGGTATATTACTATGTAAGAAAACCTGTAATTTCCCCTTTCTAACTGTCTGCAAAGTTATTTTGGGTGAGCAGAGATTGTTAGCAAACTCTCCTACCTTTGTTAAAGTTCACAGCCTGTGGGGGGTGTTGGTGTTGAGGAAGTGAAGGTAAACCCAGATCAATACTTTAGCAACAGACAGTAGGAAAAGCGGACGTGGGTTTAAAGTTGTAAAGGGCAATTTCAGGATGGATAACACAAAGATTTTCTTTACTTAGAGGGTAATCAACGCCTGGAACAAGTTAAATAATATTATCCTTGCATTTGCTCGGAAAGGACACTGGGCTCATTTAAGAAGCAGCTTAATGCTGTGATGTGGGGATGGTTGGGTGGGTAATCTGGAAGGATGAGATTGGATGGGATTTTGTTTTCAAAACTGTCTTGTGAGAGTTGCAGGACACCTTGCATTGTGTTTCACTAATAAAATCCAGAGTCCCAAGTTCTATTGATACATCGGAATTCCATCCTTGCTATAAAACCCCTACCCTGCTCACCTCCCTAACTGCCTTGTTATACGCCTCCCCATTACTACAGCAACTCTTGACGTAAGATCTATTATCACATGTATTGCATGAGGGAATGGATTGATTTTATAGTCCTGGCCAACAATCTCACCCCCCACCCGCTCCAATAAAATTGATCATTCACTTTATGGATGTTTTGGGGACATTGTGTGCAAATTGGCTGCCTCATTTGCCTACAAATACAGTCATTACACTTTATAGTAAGTATATCCTCCCAGTATGAAATGTAAGGATTATTATTATGATAGAATAGGGACATGTTTCAACAAAATATATTTTTTAAAAATCCTGGGTTGCTCATTTTATGATGAAAAGATTCTAGGTTCAAAATCAGTTGAGTCCTGATGAGACTCAGACATTCACCCTTTTGAAGATGATAAAATGAGGGTTACTTTTGAATAAAATGCATCCTCCCAGGGGAAGGTAAACCAGGGTCTCACATGGCTGAGATAGTTCTGAGGAGATGTACCCAATAAATGTCAGCAAGATGTGCAGTAATCCACATACTATTGATTTGTGGCCGGCCTGCTGAGTTGATCAGTGAGACTCTGAGGTGGTGACATGTCCTCAGCCTGGAAGCCAAAGCTCTCAGGGGTACAATGTTCCTAGCTGGACAAGTCCACGCTGCATGTTCCCATTTTTATTGGACTCCTATATCACTGCTCTGCGTTCAGGCATTCATAAATGCTCCCATTCTAGTTTATGACACAAGATGAATTATAGCCTTACAGCACGCTCTCTGCCTGTTTTTATTCCATGTAACTCAATTTACACTGTCAAGGAATGGCTATTTGCAACAAGAGTTCAAAGAGACAGATGATTTAGTGCACGGAAAGCTGTGCTCCCAGATGAAAAAATCTGTTTTGCTTTTGTTGATCATCAAATCTCACCAACATTTGTTTGTTATTTGACATGTGGAATGTGTAGAGTGTAACTCTTTTGATCCAGGCCAGCTAGTTAACTGAGGTCCATTTCCAGTCAAGTGGATCGACCAGATGAGGTAATGATCAGCACGATTCACCACAGGGAGGAACTCTGCTTAGGACTAGATCTGGACAGAATTTGCAGAAAAGACGGCTTCAAAATTAAACCAATATTTAAAAATTTGCTGAATTGTGGGAAACTCCGAAATGGTAAAACCACTCCCCAAGTTAAGATTAAATTCAACAACTTGCCAAATTCAAGATGCTCTGAGAAGCTACATAAACAGTAAACTTAGACTTGGGTGGAACTTTTTCCCAAATGTTTTGGTGCATGTAAAAAAAATGCTGGCAGCAGCATTCCTTCCTAACAAGAAGAAACAATTGAAGGGTGTTCTAATTGTAGTCTCCCTTAATCTAAAGGGTGTAGACAAGGTCGACTCCAATCCCATATTCACTATTACTGATATTGAGTATGTTGTAAAGCTCATGCAAGCAATGTACAGCAAGTAGTGCCTGACAACCTGAAATGGAGTCATTGTTTAGTGCAGGAAGTTGGCTCTACAGTGCACCACTAAACTGGGGCCTCATGACAGGATCTGATGAGTTCAGATCAGTTTTGACTTTAGCCAACAATCGTCAGAAGGCTCAGGTGCAAATAGCTTCAGGCTTTCAGACCCCATCACCTTTCTCCCACACTCCCCCCAACCCCTCTCCTAATCTGGAAGTCTAGAATGTCAGTTCAATGATCTAAATCTGAATTCAAATTCAACCAACCTTGACAATGGCTATTGACCAGTTACTGGTTTCTGTTACTTATTAACGAGTCGGATGCTTTGTATAACTGCAGTTGACACCCTAAAGCAGAATGTTGATTTTGCTACATACCTCAGCGGTACTATTGCATTTACAGAGTAGCTATTTTATTTCTGGAGTTTACAGAAATGCCAAGCCAAGCATAACATTTCTCGGCAAACTGTGTGTCAACCTCTGGATTCAATTTGTGTTTTTTTTTGGTAATAGATCAAAAAAATTTCAGAGAGTATTTTCTTATTAATGTTCACACTTCTAAGGAAGTAAAAAAAAACTTGCAAACACATTTTGGGGAAAACAAAAACTTTCTTTGCAAAGCACTCACCCAAACAGTAGTTTCCACTCTTCTGATAACCCTTCTTGCAGCGGCAGCTGAACGAGCCTCTGGTGTTTACACAAATGTGCTCCGGGCCGCAGTTGTGGGTACCCAAGGTGCACTCGTCAATATCTGTACAGGAACCAAAACAAAAATGGGTGTGAACCTCAGCTTTAGCTCCTCTCAGACCCGCCTTTGGTGCTGTAATTATTGAAAAGCCAGATTTTTCTACTGGCACTGTTGTGCTTCCAATATATACCTTTACTCTATTATCACTGCCAATCATTTTTTTATATTACTGAACATACCTTTCAAAACACTTAAAGAAAATGAAAGCCTTCTTGAACGCTGAAGCTCTGATCACTTGTATTTGCACAGTTTGTTTTCCTGTTCACTTTCCAGTATAAAATTGATAACTCATTCCAATGCCGTTTGTGGGACATTGCTATACGCAAACTTTCTGGCCACATAATACACAGTCAATACACTTCACACTATATCCCGAGAAGCACCTTGAGATATCTCGACGATGTGATAAGGTACTATATCAAATGCAAGGATTATTATTACTCCTCTTATGGTCTCTGTTCAGATGCCCTTCTGCACAATTACTTCTTGCAGCGGCAGCTAAATGAACACCTGGTGTTTATACAAGTTGTGGTTGTCCAAGGTTCATTCACCAATCTCTGTTCAGAAATGTAAAAAAAGGTACTTGTGGGCCTCAGCTCTACCTCCTCTCAGACCCACCTCCGGTGTCCTTCTGCACATTTGCCACTCAGCTTCACAGTTCCTACCTGCTAACCTACAATCTCCATGGCACTGTTTCTGACTGGGATTTGTCCACCATCATAAACACTGCAGCTCTAACAGAATTACTCTCACCCCAGTAGGGCATTTTGTCCAACTGTACTGGTTCTCATTCTCCCAATGGAGCTATCCATTTTAATCCCATTCTTCTGATCTTCTCACATGCCTTTCAATATTACTTTCCAAATACTTATCCCTTACTCTTTCAAATGCTGTCATTTGGCTTTGACAGCCACTCATGGAACAGAATTCCGTATTCTAACAATCCTCCAAAACTAAAAGCATTTCTTCCAATCTTCCCTTTATTTTTCCTCTTCCAATGTTTCCCACTCATTTTATACCCTGTTGTTACTGAGTTATTATAGATAATGATAAGTCTTGCATTTGATATAGCACCTAATACTATCAAAAATGCCTCAAAGCTCTGAGCAGGTAATTGCTGTCAAGTGTAGTCACTGTGCACTCAGTAGCAAATTTGCACAGTGACCATAAACTGCCATAAAGCGAATCTAGAGATTTGTTGGCCAGCATGTGGGAAACTTCCTTTAATGATCGTGCCATGGCATCTTAAACATCCTGCCTGCCTGTTCAGGGGCACGTTTAACATCATATCCACAAGTTAGCACCTCCAACCATGCCTGACTCCTCCAGTTGTGCACTGAAGTGCCAGTGGAGATTGTGACTTCAGAGACCTGACTTGGGGGCTTGAACCCACAAACCAGTGATGCAGAGAGTTTACCCACTCTATCTTTCCTCTCACAAGTCGCTCTAACATATTCAGAAATGGACATCCATCCACAGAGTACTAAGAAAAGATAGAACGACAGAGTGAACAAAATTGCGATCTGAGGAATGTTATGTCGGTTGCTTTTCTGATGGTTTATTAGGAATTAATTTTGGTTTCTTTTAACCAACGCACACAAAGCAAGAATTATACAATTTTTGGGAATGTGCCAGAGCTGGAGCCTGCAGTCTGGGTAAACAAATTCTCTAGATACTGGGCAAGCATAACTTCCAGTTAACTGACCACATTCGAAACTTCAGTCCAATGATATTTCACACTATTATAACCATGATAATAACCCTTGCATTTTATATAGAGCCTTATCACTTTGAAACAATAATTTATATTTGATACAGTGAATTTCACATTGTTTAAGTGCAAAGTGCAGCATCTGTATATTTTGTCGGCAGCCAATTTGCACAAAACAATCAGGCAGTGAGCGAACAACCAATTTTTTAATATATAAATTCTTACTGCTGTCAGTGCCAGCCCATACCTGGGAAAAAAGATGGCAAGCTTCTGAGATATCAATATTAAGTGCTTAATCTTGCTTAATCTTGAACAATGAGAATGACCCATGTTTCAGCACAGCCCTCCTTCCCACCAAATATTTTTTTGGGTCTCCCAGTTAGCTGTTTGAAGCTATTTCCGACAGAATAATAATCCTTGCATTTGATATAGCGCCTTTCATATGATGAGGATGTCTCAAAACACTTCTCCAGATTTACTATATAGTGACTATGTAATAATAATCCCTTCTATATATATATATATATATAATTGGGCATTCAATCCACGAGTGTTTGTGGGACACTGCTGTGCGCAATTGGCTGTGGCGTTTGCTCACAAAATATATAGTCAATTCACTTTACAGTATATTCTGCAAAGTGCTTCGAGACTTCTCAACGATGTGATGAAGCGCATGGAATCCTGCAGCTAAGTGGTTAACCCGGGCAGGGTGAAATGTTGGGCAACTTTCTTTACTCCACACTCCTCTGTGTACCTAGCAGTGACTAGGAACCCGGCTGTTAGTCAGTTGGTAGATCACTTTTCCAGGGGTAATAATTCCTTCAAAAAAATAATAAATTTGTCACTTTAATCCATGACGGTTTGTGGGACACCGCTGTGTGCAATTGGCTTCCGTGTTTCACCCACAAAATATACAGTGAATTCACTTCACAGTATATCCTGTGAAGCGTTTTGAGGCGTCTCGAAGGCATGATAAGGCGTTATATCAAAAGCAAGGATTATTATATAAAATGCAAGGATTATCATTATGTCAGATGCAGTAATTATAATGTAATTTGAAGAAGAACATGCACCCAATGTGAGCCTGTAGTGGAAAGTCAGCCTGTGCCATAAAAGACAAAATATAGTGAAAGAGATATGGTGAGGGGTGGGTGGGGGGTGGTTGTCAAAAGACAAACAAGAATAGAATTAATGGAATGAATGAGAGAGAACAAATCACTGGGCGTTTCGATTCTGCCAAGTACAATTCTGCCTGTGAGCTACTGTATTCAGGAAGAGACGACTGGTGGCATTCCAAACTTTCTTGCCCAATTAATGTGATGTTTGATACTTACTGAAGTGGAGAGGACAGACACAACGTTGCTCTTTTCAAACAAAAATGGATAAGCTGGAAGTCCACACAGTTTCATCGGGTTTAGGATTATCACCCTCGACACACTATCGCAGTCTCTGTGTTTTTTTTAAAAAAGCTCAGAATTGTATATTTTTTAAAAAATCATGCCACCTCCGCAAACACAATGTTGGGTTGCTTTTACTCTTTCCCCAGGTTCACACTCTGTAACCACAAATACCCTACCCCTGACCATAAACCATTATAAAAGCAGCCAAATGAAGCCTTGAAGAATGAGATACCAGGCATATGAACATGTTAAACCGAATCCTCACATCTCCCTTCAGTGGATTAAAAAGATCACTGCGATTTACAACGCGCTTTTTTAAAAAAAAACACACCAGGCAACATGAACTGGCTTGTTGCTTAATGGTTATACATGCTGTCTCAAATAACTGTGCTTGTGCGATACAAGATTAATTTGGCTTCTCAATTGTCCTTAGATATCTATCATAGAGTGGTTTTTTTTCACTGCTGTGTTCACATTGTTGCATTCTAATGCTTCTCAATACAGTATTTTCTTTTCTTTGTGTCATACTGGTTCTGTCTGGTAGCGCTCTCGTCACTGAGTAGGAAGTTGCGAGTTCAAACCGTACATTGGGACTTTGAACTTGTATAGTCTGGGCTAACACTCCAATGCAGTGCTGATGGTGCACTATGTTGTTGGAGATGCTGCCCTTTGGATGAGCTATTAAACCGAGGTCCATTGTGTCTGTCCAGGTGGACATTAAAGATCCCATTACGCTTTATCAAATTATTAATAATAAACTACAGTCTAGTCAAAGCTAATTAAGGTCTAACTTGCTCTTTGCAAAAGGGGCGGTAAGTGGCAATGCTGAAATTCGAAGATCACTAGAGCGTGAAAAAGGACAGCGATCAAAATGTCATCTCTCCACGGCCCTGCCTCGGTCCTTGGCCTCCGGAAATTGCTGACCTTGATCTGACCAACCAGGCATACTACGAGGGCTCAAACTGGCTCTTGCCCCCCGCTCCATTCGCTGAATATCATGAGTCAGATCCCAACGTTGTGATGCACTATTTGTTTTGTTCAGTACTTGAAGCAGCCAACCTGAATACTTCCACTGGCAGCTTAAGTTGGGAAGCAACTGAATGTGATGCTGGCCAATATTTCCTATTACAAAATATTACGGCAGATACATTGCGAGCCAAATGCGATGGTGGGGATCTTGGCTCTGAACAGTGCGATCTCAGCTTCTGTCAAAGAGAGCATTTGTTTCAATGCTAAATTCCAATGCAATTCTCCACACTTTTTAATCCACAGGTCCCCAAGCTCAGTTTGCCGAATCTAAAGGTAGCTCTGTGCAGAGGAATCCTGTTGATTCTTGGAGGGCTTTGGCAAGAGTGTACAAAAACCGAACACTGTATCTCCCAGTGAACAATGCCTGGCTTAGATTTAGCCTCGCAGGACGCACTTACAAAGTATCAAAATGCTCTGTGCTGAAAATTTATTATAACCCTAAACCAAACCAGTGCTGTAGCTTTTTCTTGCATTGTGTGAAGCAAAAACCTGAATTTGACACAAAATTAGTAAACGTTTAATCTTGCTGGTAACCAAATGTGGATCAGCCTGACCTGTGGGAACTCCAATCCGATTAGAACGAAATTGCTTGGAGCAGAGTTTCTCTCCCCATCCCTACCCCTCCTAGATTGGCGTGGAGTCCTGTAGCTTAGTGGTTAGAGTACTTGCCTTGCAAGCGGCTTTGAATCCCAGGCATGGCAGAACCTTGGGCAAGTTTCCTTCCTCCACATGCCTCTGTTTACCAGCAGTAAGTAGGAACCTGTTTGTTAGTCAATTTGCGGATTGGTTAATAATAATTTGGTTAATCAATCCACGACTGTTTATGGGACACTGCTGTGTGCAATTGGCTGCTCCCGTTTCAC